GGGTTTTGGAATGAAATATGTTAGAATTGATCCAAGGTTTGGATTGTAAATTGTTGAGCCTTAAGTAGTCTTAAGAGATACTAAGGTGGATAAGTGATGCTAGGGGTAGGCCTCAAGGGATACCCAAGATAAAGTGAATAGTAAATTGAATCCTAGGAATAGGATTGGCCTACGGGTGTATTCGGTAGTCTTCAAGGATTAGCCGATAGAGTATTGGAAATTAGTAAGGACCATGGCCCTTCCCGACTCTAGAGAGCGGGGTTGGATAGCATGGACTTACATCGTGATCACGGGTTAGGGTGGAATCCGAACCGGAGACCTTACGAGGCTCCCGACAGCGGTAACACATAAGATAGGACCCCGAATGGACCTTACCTTCCTACGGGACGATGGGTATGAGTTCAGGGGCGGGATGTTGGACTCCGGCCCGAGAGCCCGGTGAGGCCTCGGAGAGCGGTGACAAATCTCGTAAGGATGAAAAGACCTACGGGCGGTGTCGTGTAAACGATGATTGAAATGAAATATGAAAAGGGGCCGCGTGCCGACAAATTAATTAATTAACTTATCATGAAGATAATAAGGGTTAAAGAAGAACTATCATTATATTATGATATCACTCTATTTTGAGGGTCTTAGAAGTTGAAACATTGATTATACTTAGTATAGTTGTCATTGTACTTGTCAAATGCTTCCAAGTACTGACCTCCCCTTCACGGGGGAGGCCACCTCACAGTTTCAGGTAGGGAGTAAAGCTTGCTACCATCGCCCGTTGCTTCGGGGAGCTCAGGGAGAGAAGACGTGGTTCGTGCTTCCTCCGTTCTATTTTTAAAAACATTAAATTAATGCTCATGGATATTACTTTGATTAATTATTTGGGGCTCGTACGCCCATGTTGCCGAAGTGTGGCATAAACACTTGTATTAAACGTTTCCGCTGATTTAAATGATTATTTTACATTATGTTTGTTTATGGATGTACTATTGTGAATGATATTCAAGACGCCTAGTATAGTATGGATGAGTTGGACTGCGGTTGACTATTCGTACTGTACGGCGGGTTGTTGACGTGTCCGGTAGGTCCGGGGCGTGACATTTCTCCTCCTTTGTCCATTCTGATCTTGCTTTTTCAATCATCTGGGGCTGAGAATTATCAGTAGAGTGAGCAAGATTGACCTTCATGAACTGGATAAAGGGGCCATTTTCCAGAACTTCCCACATTTCATCATGAAGAGCACAGAGATGTGCCTTCATCCTGATCTTCCAATCATCATACTTCTGATCTGTGAACATAAGATGCTTTGCAAGAGAGTTATCCATAATAACAAGTAAAGAGGCTAGAAACAAGTGGATCTTTGTTCAGGGAGAACCTAAAAGATTACAAGAACAAGGAGGCTCTGATACCACTTGTTGGTCCCGTTTAAGTTGGTAACAGTCTAGAGGGGGGGGGGGTGAATAGACTGTTATAATTTTTCAAACTTTTCTCTAAGTCAGAGTTGACTTATCAGATAGGGTCGAGTTCTGATGATCAGAACTGGGTCTTGCAGCGGATAAGAGTTCCGGGTAGCCTCAAGCAGATACTAAGGCAAGTGCCTTTCTGATAACTCTGAGAACAAGATCTGCTGAACACAGAGTCCAAGTTCTTAGGGAGTTATGCAGTTGTGTTCAAAAGTGCAGAAAGTAAAAGCGTAAAGTAAATGACACCAGTGTTTTATAGTGGTTCAAGGAACAACGCGTTCCTCTAGTCCACTGTTCCACTAAGCTTTGAGGTAAACAGTTACAAAGCTTTAGCCCTAGCACTTAAGAAGTTCTCCACGTCTTCTTTAAGCCTATATGTCACCCGGGATGCAGTCCTGCTTCCTGATGACTGGTCCTTTCACTCAGCTTCCCGGAAGTATCACCACTTCACTACTGCACTTACTTGGACGCCCTTCTTTGCAGAAGATGTTCTGAAAAACAGAGTTTTTCTCCAACTTGCTTCGTTACAAAAGATGTAGAAATGAAGTTCTTGAAGTGTTGAAGAACTGGATGAACTTTGCTCTTGGTTGGGATTGAGAGATTTGAATATTTAATCTTCCCAAAGTAAGCTTTTTCTTGTAGAAGGATTTGAAGATTGAATCTCAAGAGAGCTTGTAGAATGGTTGTAGGGAGCAAAAGTTGTAGCAAAAAATTATCCGGTTGTTCTTCATCGAGTATCTTTTATACCGGGGTTGTCTACCCGTTGGAGGAGGAGACAACTGCATTGAATGCGCATACTGTGGAGTTGACCGGTTGGACCCGCAGTTTTGGCAGGTTTCTATTTTTGTATAATATTCTCCAGGAATCTTGGTCAATCATCTGCAATAACTCCACAGCGTATCAGGCTCATTAAATGAGCATTAAATGCTTTCATTTGATGAAATATCTCCTAGCCGTTGGAGGATTTTCCGTTTGTTATACGGCCGTTGAAAGCAGCTTCGAAATCTTTCTAAGTGTTTATCCAGGTCTGATGAGATTATCTGATGGCATTCTGACCTTGGATTCTGATGAACTTAGATAAGTAACTCTGATACTTCTCTGAAGTTGAATTCTGATGAAGCTTTACATCGAACTCTCATAGTTTTCTGATGAGCAGTTCTGATGCTTCTCTGATGGGCAGCTCTCATGGATCATCAGACTTGAAGTTCAGCTAGCATCTCTCATGAATTGCCAAGAGCAACTCTGAAGGCAATTCTCAGCTCTGATGCTTCTCTGAGGAGCAACTCTCATAGCTTCCCGAGAGCAACTCTGAAAGCAGCTCTCTTGGCAGTTCTCATAGCAGTTCTCATAGAGCAGCTCTGATCAGATCCACACAGAGCAACTCTGACTGTCGACTATACTAATACTTACAACTAAAAAATTCTAACACATAAAATCTAAATGGGGGTATTCTGAAATTCTAATCTAAATAACCTAGCATCATCAAAATCTAATTACATTTATTCCTTACATATACACTTTAAAGGTTTGATGCATTAGGCCTTTATTATAGAGTCATTCTTGGTGTACGTAAAATGTACACAAAATTTGTACATTGTCTGTGTAAACAGACAATTAGGTGGATGTTGGCATCAAATTCTGCCCCTTTTTAATGAATTGTTAATGTACACAGACAAGTATGATGGTTTTGTGTACAATTCATGTACACTAAGAATTTTTCATTACACATCTATTTTAAATGAATGGAAAATTTTAGTGTACATGAATTGCACACAAAATGTACACAAAAACACAATATTGTGTGTGCGCACAGAGAATATATACATTTTGGAAACATTTGATGTACACCTTAAATGACTTAAATGAATTGAGAATTTTGTAAAACCCGTATACCCCTCATTTTGGATACATTTTTTTTTGTATACCCATCATCTATGTATCTATCTTACGAGTTTTTTCCAACAATAATGTAAAATAAAAAAATATTTCCCAAAATAGGGTTTGGTTAAAAATATTTTCTAAAATACTGCTCCCCTAAACTCCAGTTAAAAGAACAAGTGGCGGCTTATATGAGAAAACGACTTAACCACGCTGAAGCTTAAAGGTAATGAGTGACGCACGTAGCAATATGACATAGGCCCCACAAAAATAAAAATCCCATTTTTAATTTAAAACAATATAACTTTTTTATTTGTACTCTGATCATTACAAAAAATACATCAAAATTTATAACTTTTTATTATCTTTCATATGACACCAATATCGAATATATAAAAATAAAAAACATAATTTAACATTTTAATTTTTTTGTAAATGTTATATCTTTTTTATACACCGATTGTTAGAAAAAATATATTAAAACTCATAACTCTTTGTTATTTTTCATGAGACACTAATTTTGAATATTTAAAAATTAAAAATCAATTTTATTAATTTGTGCAGTTTGGAATCGTTTTTTACAATACACACATCTTATTTAGAGTGATAGTTTATAATAAAACTATATAAACTCCATCACTTTTATTATCATTTTATTCCTTGTTTAGTTTTAGGATGTTTTCTTTTGGACTGTTTTCAGTCCCATACTGGATTAGACTAGACCAGTTCAGACCAGACCAAATTTAAACTGACCAGACCAGACCAAACTAGAGTTAAACAGAACAGACTAGATCGAACTTGAACAATTAGAAAAACACAAAGGCGAGCTAGATATTTACCAAATCGAACTTAAACAGACCAGACCAGACCAACAAATTATAAAATTATAGTCCAAAAGAAATCATCCTTATTCTAATCTATCACTACTCATTATTTGTGAATTTAAATTTATCCTAAACTGCATAAATATTTAAATTTGTATATTCAAAATTGGTGTCATATGAAAGATAATAAATATTTATGAATTTTGATATATTTACTACACATAAAAAAGATGTAACATTTAAAAATGGGGGTTTTCATAAAAATGTAATTATTTCTTAGAATAATGTAATTATATTAAAAGCGGTTTTAATATAATTACATTTACAAAAAATGTAATTTTAAATAAATGTAATTATTTATATGTAGTATTTTTTAAAGTGTTAATTTTTAAAATTTTTATATATTCCATATTGGTGTCATATGAAAGATAATAAAAAGTTATGAATTTTGGTGTATTTTTTGTAATTATCTGAGTAAAAATAAAGAAGTTATATAACTTTTAAATAAAAATGGGATATTTATTTTTGTGGGCCCTATCTGATGGTAGTACATACGTTAGTTGCTTTGGCTTGCCTCTACATGCGGTACCTATTTTCATATTAGCCGCCACTTGAAGTGGTGGTTCTTTTAACTAGTTTTAACTAGAGTTTAAGTGAGCAGTATTTTGGGAAATATTTTTAACCAAACCCTATTTTGGGAAATATTTTTTTATTATTGGAAAAAACTCCTATCTTACGCTGTCATTGTAAAACCCTAGACAGCGGGGTGCGAACCGCCACGTGTCAATCGCCCCCATTCATGGTTTCCCCTTATTTAGGCAAACAAACCGTTGGGTTCTTCTTGTGCTGCTGCTGCGGCTCAGTTGTGGTGGAGATGGAAGAAAGTCCGGATGAGATTGAGGTTTGTAAAATCTTGCTTGACCTCGGAAACATGTTTCGCGAATCAGTGTGCAGATGGGGCTGTAAGCGGAGGAGATCTAGCGGCGGCGGCGGCGGCGGCGAGTTCTCGGCAAGGAACATTGTAAAAGTCTTGAGTCCTGACACCCCACTCTCCTTCTGCCCCACCACTGAATCTGATGACAACAAACACTCTCAGAAAAGGGTAAATTTATTTGTGATTTTGATTGTATTTATATTAATTAATTAATTACGGAGTACTAAGGAAGGTTTGTGCTTTTGCGGGTGGCAGAGTAGAGAGGAATGGAAGAGGGAAATAGAGGGATTAACACACTGTAAAGAAATGCTGATCCAGGTAAAAGTCCTTCATTTTATTATTATACGGAGTACTAGTTGATTTTTTTTTACTGCTTGATGTTTTTACAGCAATTGGAGACTGTGAGAGTTCACTATGATACCCAGAGGCTTTACAATCTCAAGTTGAAAGCAATGAAGCAGGAGGAGAAGGTATGGCTTGACCATGATGATGATAAAATTTCCCAAACTGAGTATTTTTCTAGAAACAACTCAAAACTGTCCTTAATCGCAGCGGCGGCGGCAGCAGCAGTTATTGACTTCTTCATTCCACAAACAACAAGAGGCTTTTGTGAGGTTAATTGGGCCAGCCAGAAGTGTAGCCCAACAGCTTCAATATCCAGTCATTGTTGGCCAGAAGGATTGGTTCTCTGCGCAGGGCTTTGCAAACAATGGGTTCGGCCCTGATCTGAACGCCGCCGCCGCCGCAGAGAGTATGAAGAAGGCCATGTATGCTGAGGCACGGAGGAGCAGAATGAACAAATTGAAGATTAGGGGAAGGAGGAGGCCATAGTATCATGTTTCCTTCCACTTTTAAATCCCTAGCTTTTTTATTGTTTTCGTAGTTCGCTTCTCAATGTGTAAATCCTCAGTTTTGGTTTTCAAACACTTGAGTCAGTTCATTAATACCTGTACAAAAAATGGCATGAAAATTTTGAGAATGCTAATCTCACTGTCATCGGTCTTTTTTAGAATGATTTTCTCATATACGAGTATTTCTTTTTTCATTTTTCTCACAACAAGTTTAAATTCTCTTTTGTTTTTAGGAAAAATTACAATAATAATCTCACCTTTCACCGTTATTCTTATAATACTATCAAATTTACGTAATATCAAAATAATTCAACATTGCACTCATTTTCTTTCGCTAGTCACTCATAAATTGATGACCTGTTATAGTAGTTTTTTGCATTTTCTTAGAGAATACTCCGTATTACTACGCATATAAATAATCACATTTTTCACAAATTTGTCAAAAAAAGTCTCATGTTTCATTTTTTCTTTTTGACTCCTTGATATTTTTCTTTCTTTTTTTGAATAAAAACTTCACTTTCATTAATTCAAACTTTCACTGTTCAACTGACTGACAATACAATCAGGCGGACTACATATCAAATAATAATCATTTGACATAGAAAGGGTAGCCTGAGCAAGCTTATGAGCTACCACATAAGCATCAAAGCAAAGTAGGGAATCCGTTTCCACGTCAACATTCTGCCAGCCTTGCGCTTGAACCCATCGTACGGCCTCCGTACGGCCTCCCGCACTTCCATGGCCTTCGTTATCTCTGCCGTCCAGTTGGTTTCCTTCGTCTGCCATCCTCCCTTCATAAAGTTCCCATGCTCTTCCCTTACCATCCATGCCCAGGTTCGCCTGTTCCTTGTCAGGTCAAGTGCCGCATCAACATTAACCTTGATCCTTCCCAATCCTAGCTTCTTCCAGCACACATGTCTCTTTTCTTTACTCAGTCTACTTCCCGCCTTTTCAGATTCCTGCCAACCTCTGAGAGTTGCCGATCCAATCTCTAAACATTGTTGCTAGTTTCCCTCCTTATCCTTCCAAACTTTTTCATTCAGAATCTTCCACAGACTCCATAAAGTAGCAATGAAGTAGCATAAATCCTCACCTTGCAAATTTTCAAAAAAGTTTTTAACCCAGTTAGTAAAATCTCCGCCATGTATGATGAATCGGGTTCCCAATTTTTGTCACACTGTCTACGCCACCCTACATTGCCGAAACAAATGGTCCTCAGTTTCATCAGCCTCCTCGCAGAGCTTGCATGTTAAACCCACATCCACTCTCCTTTTGCACGGATTACTCGTCAACGGTAAAACTCCCGACATTAGCCGCCAGACAAAACACTTCATTTTTGGGGGAATATGTAGATTCCACATTCCAGTGATCCAGTCCATCCCGTCCAACCCCTCGGCGCACACTCTCCCTGAGAAGCCTATAACCACTTTTCACCGTGTAGATACCCCTGTTACCTCCATTCCGGTACAGCCAACCAAAAACATTCCGATTACCGATCGGTATCGATAGAATTGCATTTTTGTCTTCTTCTGAAAAAACCAGTTTTATTCTCTCAAGGTTCCACTGGTCCCCTGTCGCATTGATTAGGGCCGCCACATTCATGCATGTGATCCCATGCGGTGGCGCTGACCGTATTCGCCCAGATCCCTCTCCAGGCAGTCACCTCTCCCGCCACACAGGTATTGTTTGCCCATTTCCCACCTTTCGTCGCAGCCCCTTATCAATTAATTCCTGAGCCTCCAAAATGTTACTCCAAATAAAAGAGGGATTATTTCCCAACTTAGCCTGCACAAAAGATGAATTAGGGAAATATTTGGCCTTAACAATTCTCGCCACAAGGGACTCAAGTTTTTTTATTATCCTCCACGCCTGCTTGCCAAGCATAGCGATATTAAAATCCCTTAAAAATTGATATCCCATTCCTCCCTTTTATTTAGGCGCGCATACTCTGTCAATTTTTCCAAATGATTCCTTTCTTGTTCTCTCTCGTCCTCCTCCACCAGTAATCATTCATGATGATTTCTATCTGAGAGCACAACTCTTTCGACAGTAAAAATACATTCATTGCATAAGTAGGCATAACCCGTATAACTGTTTTTAACATGATTTCGCGCTCTGCCTTTAATAGAATTCTGTTATTCCAGTTTCGAATACGGCGGACAATACACTCCTTGAGATAACTGAGGATTTCTTTTTTATCCCGTCCAATCAGAGAAGGGAGCCCCAAATAACTAGCTTTATTTTCTGCCGTTCCCACCCCTAGCAAGTCACAAACTCCTATCCTCCTTTGCTCCTCTAAGGCTCTTAGTTTGAGCTACACATCACTGATGATTTTTTATAATTCACCTTCTGCCCCGAACATCTCTCATAAGCCCGTAGAATGTTCTGAATCGTAATGCACTCACTTTACTTGGCTCCGAAGAATAAGTAACTATCATCAGCAAAAAAAATAAGTGTGATACCTTTGGTACCCCCCTCGTGCCACCATTATTCCCAGAATGTTTCCTTCCCTTTCGTGTCTCCGTATCAACGCGCTAAGCCCTTCAGCCACCAAAATAAATAAATATGGTGATAACGGGTCCCTTTGTCTCAGGCCTCTGCTAGGAATCACTGGCCCAATCACACCATCATCAAAAGGGATGAAATATTCCACCATTGGGGTGCATTCCATTACCAGATTTATCCATTTCTCACCAAATTTCATAGCTCGCATCAATTCCTCTAAATAGCTCCATTAAACCCTGTCATAGGCTTTGCTCATATTTAACTTTATGGCAACGTAGTCATCTTTCCCCCGAGTCTTTCGTTTTAAACAGTGTAAAGACTCAATGCAATCAACATTATCAATTATAGACCTGCCCAGGACAAAAGCACTTTGGTTCGTGGCAACCAGATCATTGAGAATAAATTTTAATCTAATAGTCAGCACCTTGCTAAAAATTATAAAAATCACATTGCACAGCGCTATAGGTCTCCAGCCCCCATTCCCTCAGGTCTATCTTTCTTAGGGATCAAAACAACATTAGTTTTATTTACCTCAGTTGGGACCTCCCCTGTTGTCCAGATGGTCTGGGAGAATTTAACCACATCATCTCCCACAATTTCCCAGCCGTGTTGGAAAAATGCCGGATCTAATCTGTCCGACCTTGGTGCCTTATCCGGGTGCATAGAATACTACTACAATACAATACGCTAGTATATAGCAAATTATTCAAGCTGCGCACCTCTCTGATCTCCAAGTTATGCATCCCTTATATTCCATGAACCCAAACCAGCTCTCTGGTCTTCAGTGGTATTGTAGAAATTAAAAAAAAAACTAATTCCAAATTCACCTTTTTTGTTTAATATTCGGACTTCTTCTCTGGGAGCAGTTTTCTTGCTCGGAAGACGCTCAGATGGATTGGACGAGAAAGAGGAGGGACACACAACTTTCTTTCTTCCATTAATTTTTTATTTGAATTTTTTATTTAATTTGGAAAGGGTGTATTTGAATTTTGACTATATACTACATCAATAATCACTTTTTTACCAAACACTTCAACTTTTTGTGTTTTAATTAAAATCACTTCTATTTACAAACACTATCAACTTTTACTTTTAATCACTTTCTCCGAAATCACTTTAAAAATTCACTTTTTAAAGTTGAAGCAATCACAAACATTTCTAGAAAGCACCGCCAGTAATCAGTGACTTTTGTGGCTTACGAAAGAATCCTTTGGCGGATGCTGGTTAAACCGCTATCTCCTTGCTAGTGGCTGGAATAACTGGATATTTCGTTTCTCTTTTTCTTTAGTCTCTCAGAACTATTTTACACTGCATGCTTTCCCATCAAGTAGCAGGTGCAACTTAGGTGTTAATGAAGTCTACCATATTGTGGGGTTAGCGAGTTGGACCGCTTTTAAGCATGACTCCAGCTCTTAGTCTCATCCCAGTGTAGCTTTTGATATGGCGAATTTGTATCTGTGTTTGATCTCTTTTAATAATAATTAAGTTGCCTATTGCCAAGAAAAATATAATATCTAAAATCGATGTTTAAATTTTAATACCATTGCTCAAAAAAGTCAAATTGACCAATTTTTGGGAAAGAAAAAGGGAAAACTATCAAATAGGCCCTCGAACTATACCGAAAAAGTCAATTAAGTCCTCGAACTAAAAAAACACTCAATTAAACCCACCAACTTTAGAAAAACAATCAAATTCAAAATTTAAGAAAAAAAACTTCCGGTTACCCGGTCACTGAAGTGACGTGGCTATCCAAGACTAATTTTTCCATTTTCTTTTTGTTTTTCATTTTCATTTTCTTTTCCCTCCTGTTACCTATAGCCATTCTTCTTCCGCCGTTTTCTTCCCGGCTTATTTCTTAGCTTCTTCCTTCTTCTTTTTATCCTTTGTTTTCTCTTAGTCCTTTTTTCTAAGTCTGCAACGTCGTTGGCCAAGCGGACAATGTGCCGGAGATGTAGAATCCGTACCCCGGATTTCGAACACGTCAGTCAACCGCGCGCCGTCCTCGATCAAGCATTGCGGCGTAACATTCTCTTGAATTTAGAGCTCCTCGGCCCAAGACGCTATACTGTCAGAAGGTTTTCAAGATGTACGCCGGAATTCAAAGCTCTTCAGCCAAGCTGCCATCCTCGCCAGAGTTTTAGCAGACGTACGCCGAATTCTTTGGCTCGTCGGCCAAGCCGCCATCCTCGCCATCGTCTGCAGCCTTCCCGAACTAATTCTTGTCTCCGCCAACGAAGACCAGCACCAATAACGTCGCAACAGAAGGTGAAGATATCTGATTCTCTGCTGCCCAAGCCGCCCTCTTCGCCGGAGTTTTTCACTTGAAGCAGAATGTGGCAGATTGATGAAGAAGGCGGAAAGACGTTAAGGTGGGAAGAAGAGTGAAGAGAAATGTGAGAAGGAAAGAAAAAATCCAAGAAGAAGAAGGGGTTCCTACATACAGGAGGATTGGGCGAAACAAAGAAGGAGAAGAAAAGGTGGTGAGGCGGAAGAAAAGAAGGGAAAGAGGAAAAAAAGAACGAGAAAAAGGAAAAGAAATTAAAAAAAAAGTAAAGTGCCACATCAGCAACATAACCGAATAACCGGACTTTTACCTTCTGGATTTTGAATTTGATTGTTTTTGTATAGTTGGGGGTTTAATGAATTGTTTCTTTAATTGGAGAGCTTAATTAACTTTTTTGACATAGCACGTGAGTAGACAATTTTTCCAAACAAAAAATAGAAGAGCTTCCACCACTTAAAGAAACAGGAGGTTACTTTTGCGGATTTCTACTACGGACAACTAGCTCTGTCAGAATGTCACAAATGCGATTCTTCCTTGTTGCGCTGCTTCTTGCTTCCCAAGATCTGTTTTTAGCAGGTGAAGATCATCGGCCAAAGGTTTGATTGAATAGGTTTGTGATTTTAATAAATGTTTGATTGATTGACTACAGGAGTGTACTCATCGACGAAATTGATGTTCACGAACAAGTGCGAACAAACGATTTGGCCGGGCATTTTGTCGAACGCCGGTGTTGCACCGCTGGATATCACCGGGTTTTCGTTGGAGAGGGGCGAATCGAAGACGATCAGTGCTCCGTCGAGCTGGGGAGGTCGGTTATGGGGTAGGACCCAATGCACCGAAGATTCCGCCGGGCAATTCAGCTGCGTCACAGGCGATTGCGGGTCGGGGAAGGAGGAATGCGCCGGCGGAAACGCCGCCCCCCCGGCTACGCTGGCGGAGTTCACCCTGGATGGGAGCGGAGGGATGGACTTCTATGACGTGAGCCTAGTGGACGGCTACAACCTGCCGATGCTGGTGGTCCCGCAGGGCGGATCTGGGGCGAACTGCTCGGCGACGGGATGCCGGGTGGACGTGAACGGACTCTGCCCGTCGGCGCTGAAGGTGACGAGCTCGGAGGGAGATATGGTGGCGTGTAAGAGCGCGTGTGAGGCTTTCGGCGACCCGGAGTACTGTTGCAGCGGCGCGTTCGGCACACCCGACGCTTGCAAGCCGTCGAGTTACTCGATGATGTTCAAAGGGGCTTGCCCGAGCGCGTACAGTTACGCGTACGACGATAGGACCAGCACCTTCACCTGTTCCGGCGCGCCAGATTATGTAATTACCTTCTGTCCATCTCCCAACACCAGGTTAGGTTCATTGGCCTTTCTCTTAAACTTTACTCTCATTATGTAAAATCAACTTCATGCTTATCATCGTCCAGTGGATACAAATCAAATGACTTCTTTTCTGGATACAAAATATATGAGTTTTACTGCAGCATTAATTGCGGACGCAGGCTTACTAATTTAAACCTAATCAGTTCTTTTGATTAACTAAAAATACCTCTTCTAAATTATAGACACCCTAAGGTTCTCCCTCTAAATATAGCACTTTCTAAACATTGTGCTTCCTTCAAAATTACGCACTCCTCCTTTTTATTTTCTGCCCATTGAATTTCTCCTTCACCGATACTAGTTTGACTTATAGTGGATTTTTTACTTGGTTTGACTCTACTATAGTCTTCAAGAAATTTTAAAACAATTAAGTTAAAAGCTTAGAGCAGTAGTTATGCTAGTGGCATTTTGGATGTTTTTACTTGGAACAGTCCCAGACCAGACTTGACCACAAAATTTCAGTCTAAGTACAAACGTCCTTTTACTCAAACTAGATTCTCACCTGTGCGATGCACGGATAAAAATTAAGCATCAATGTATATAAGAAGTTCTAATTACGAATAGATTGGTCAAACTTGGTGCGGACAATATTTTGAAGGTAGAATATACTACGTATATAACTATGAATGTATGTTTCAAATAGTATTGCTTGATCAACTAATATGATTGCGCGTGATAAAAGTTTAATTTATAATTACAAACGCTCTTTCTCGGCACATCCGAGTTTGATTCCCTGCAGCGTAGTTGTTTTGAACCGGGTAAACTATCGGTTTCAGCCGAGTTCCTGTGTTCGTATGGGTCCAAGTTGTACCCATGTCTGAACGGGTCCCAATGTTTTATCCGGTAAAAGGTTTTACCATTGTTTGTGGGTCAATGTCTAATTGGACTGGGTAAGGTTTCCAGGCCAACCTGTCCGGTCCGGTCTGGTTTGTTAAACACAGATTCTTTCATTTGTTGAGTTATTTGTTTATTCAACCACAACAACAATTTTTTGAAAGACAACAATTATTTTTATAGCTAACATTAAGTTATTTAAGTATAATACGTTTTTCAATAATATGACAAGAATAATACCATTTCTCAACCTTGAAGGCTTGAAGTTCCAATTTTGCAAAATCCTATACGATTGCACTTTAGATATTGACATAAATATTCAAAGATATTGAATACTCAATCACTTAAAATGTGAAATGAGCAACTCTGATCAAGATATATCAAGAAAGTGACCAGCGGATTACCACACGCTCTTCAATGCCTTGGCCCTGGCCAGCAGAGCGTCATCCCCCGCCGAACAACACCTTCTGCGCGATCCGATCCTCTGTTCCACTGTCAGATTCCTCCGCGGATCGTCGTCCACTCCGCCGTTTCCGGGGAAGAAGAACCTGTACAGCGTGCCCTCCCCCTCTATCCCGAAATATATATGGGTGGATTAGGAACAGTCTCGTCATCTGCTTCCGGGGAAGAAGAACCTGTACAGCATGCCCTCCCCCTCATTGTTGAACTGCTTCGGAATATTAGGTTTCACAATGAAACGAAGTAATTTGTGTGCTCGAACTACAGATTCAACATGATGTTTCCAGAATAGAAAGTTATTTCTGTCTAGCTTGATCGGAAGAGGATGTGCAAAGGTAACCGGAAAACTGGAATTTCCAGAATTTCCGCTAGAGGTATGAGAGGAATCATCGGGAATAGCCATGGATGGATCGAGCTAAAGCTCTGATACCATATTAGAAAGATAAGAGAGAGAGAGAGATTGAGAGAAATGAGAATTGTATTATGTCAAATGTTGAAGCAGCAGTACAAATATATATAGAGTTGGTTAAGTCATTAACAAACTCAACTGACTAAACCGAGACTCTATTAATAGCTAAAGTATTACAAGATAGTCTATTTAGAGTATATCTAATAGTGCCTAACGGGGTTTCGAACTCGAGACCTCTCACTAGGCACGGTAACCTCACAACCAGCTGGGCTGGAATGCTTGGTCTCTCTCTCTCTCTCTCTCTCTCTCTATATATATATATATATATATATATATATATATATATATATATATATATATATTGAGTAATCTTCCGGTCAGGAATTTTCTGACCGGAGCGCCGTCCGGCCTCCTCCTTTTGGAGGCCTTCCTGGTGGTATTTTTTGCTCAAATATTTTTTGTATGTTCCTCATCAAGTCTAGTTCATCCATACCAAATTTCAGCAAAATATTCAATCGGTAAGGTTGTCAAATGATTTTTGCAAGTTAACTGGTCCGGAAAATACATATTCCGGACCAGTTAACTTGCAAAAATCATTTGACGACCTTCTCGATTGAATTTTTTGCTGAAATTTGGTATGGATGAACTAGACTTGATGAGGAACATACACAAACAAATTGAGCAAAAAATACCACCGGGAATGCCTCCAAATGGAGGAGGCCGGACGGGGCTCTTGTCCGGAAATTCCGGACAGGAATAATCCTGTGTGTGTATATATATATATATATATATATATATATATATATATATATATATATATATATATATATATATATAGAGTGCCGTTCTTGTCCAGCCGGCCTGACGGGATGCTCCGTCCGGCCGAGGGCATTTCGGGCACTTCCCGGTGGAATTTTTTGATGAAATTTTTTGAGCATGTTCCTCATCAAGTCTAGTTTGTCCATACCAAATTTCAGCTCAAACTTCCATCGGGAAGGTCGTCAAATGATTTTTGCAAGTTAACTGGTCCGGAATATGTATATTCCGGACCAGTTAACTTGCAAAAATCATTTGACGACCTTCCCGATCGAATTTTGAGCTGAAATTTGGTATGGACAAACTAGACTTGATAAGGAACATGCTCAAAAAATTTCATCAAAAAATTCCATCGGGAAGGTGCCCAAACGGGCTCGGCCGGACGGGGCAGCCCGTCAGGCCGGCCTGATGAGAAGAGCACTCTATATATATATATATATATATATATATATATATATATATATATATATATATATATATATCATAGTCACATGGTTCGCGGTACGGTTCGATACGGGAACGGGAACGTTGTTCGCTAGATCTAGCGTATCCGATTCGGAGGGGGGTAGGTTCATTTCGGTACGCGTTCGATACGATGTACCATATGTTCGGTACGCCCTACCTAATATTTTGGTACTATAATAAAAATATAAAACTGAATTATAGAATACAGATTACTTTGTCAAACAAAAAAAAGAATACAGATTACAGATTTCAACATTGAACAAAAATAGAGCATCTTCCCTCAATTTATAACAGTTAATTAAAATGTAAAATTGATGAGTAGGAATAATTAGGATCAGAAAACGAAGAGTTGTCTTTCAAAAAAACGAAGAGCTGTCTTTCAAAAAAAAAAACGAAGAGCTGTCTTTAAAAAAAAAGAGCTGGTTGGAAATCGGTACGCCTATTACTACAGGCGTCTGAAACGAAGCGTATTAATACTCAAACTTGGGCGTCTCAAACGAGTCAAACGACGTTTTTTTTCAAATTGCGATTGATGGGGAACAATCCACGGAACGACCTGCGTTGAGTTTCCGATCGCGTTTGAAGACGACTGAGGTCGCATCAGACGGCGATTGCGCTCTCTTCCAGATGCGATTGGGATCGACTGGCACAGCGTACCGTAGAGCGTTCCATGGTGCGACCGGATCACTTTCGTACCGCGATTGGGTACGCAGCGATCGGTACGCAGATCGCGCCTAGTTTAGCGATTTATGTATCTATAATATATATATATATATATATATATATATATATATATATATATATATATATATATATATATACTTCCCCCGTTCTCTTTTAGTTGCAACAGTCAACATTTCACGTTTGCCAAAGCACAAGTTTGACCATTAATATCTTTCATTCCTTATTAGTAAAAAAATTTAAAAAAATTCATATTTTGAAAATTTAGAATGAGAAGAATTTAACGATATTTTTCAAAAATTTGATTTATAATACATTAATAAATAAAATATATATAGTCAAAGTGGAATATGTGAATAGTGTAAAAAGTCCAATGTTGCAATTAAAAGAGAACGGAGGTAGTATATATATGTGTGTGTGTGTGTGTGTGTGTTACCCCGGAAGGCAAACCACCAAAATCAGTAGGGCAAATGTCGGGGGACATTTGCCGAGTTTTTATTAAAATTTGAAATATTACATGAGAGAGGGGGACCAAACCAATACCTCTCTAGAATAAAAAACATTTAAGGGGGACCAAACCAAACCTTAAATAAAGTACATGTAAAAATAAGCAAATTAGAGTCGTAAATTAGGAATACCGAAAAGATCCGCATAATAACCTTGTTTAACCTTATTGGGAAGCTGGCTGACCCGTCTGTGTGTGTGTGTGTGTATAGAGCGGGTTTGGTAAAAACGGACTCCCAGGAGAGAAATAAGAATGAATTTGGACCGTTGGATTGTATTATGTGGAACTGAAATATGTATTGTTGAAAATGAAGTGTGCATTAGATGATATTGAAATGTGCAAAATAAAAATTTAAACTCAAGTGTACACTAGGTGAAACTAAAATGCGCGGAATAAAAGGTACAAAAATAACATCACATCGTACCTTTTTTTCTGCACATTTCAGTTTCATCTAGTGCACATTTCAATTTCACCTAATGCACAATTCAGCTTCACATATTGTCACTCTATCGTACCCTTTGTGCTGCACATTTCAATTTCATCTAATGCACATTAAAGTTTCATCTAATGCACATTGAATTTCACTTAAAGCAAATCTTGTTGGGCGTGTTCTCGAAAAACAAAGAAAATTAGTTTAATTAAAATTAATTAAAACAACCAATGAAAAAACAGAAAAGAGATGAACAGATTAGCCAAAGCTTGTGTTATGCACAATGTCCTTATAACGTATTCGTTGTCTCCTAAGGTGCTAGGAGCGTTATAACGATTGTTTCCTAAGATACGATGACTATGAACAATCGTTGAGCACTCAAACG